TGGCTTTCCTCATCGCTGTGTCCCTTTCTGTGTTCCCTGACCTCGGCTAGTATTTTGACTATTCTTTGTACGTTAAATCCGGCCATTCTAAGGACCGGTAATACGTTACTTATTTGTCATCCGTGCTGTACAATTCTACGTGCTGGATCAAACAGTAATCCTGACAAGTATTAAGGGGAAATGATCCATAGAATGCTACAACAGAATAATGTCTATTATATGTTTTTAGAAATCTTTTGCAATTTTTCTTTTTTTTTATATATTCTAATTAACAGTTTTCCAAATGCACCTAATGTGCCCTCGCTATAATAATCATTTTTCAGACAGTAGCACAATTCTAGACATAATTCTAGACGCAATTTGGAACATTTCTCACTTTACATTCAAAACATCTTAAAGGTTTAGACAAGTAAATTGTATTTGTTTTTCGCTTTTTTTGTTGTTGTTGTTGATGTTTTGAATGGTGTTCCATTTTGTACTTAGCGTTTCCCAGACAATTCTTACATCTGTACGCTGTGATTGACGTGGGAAGTACACAAGATCATAATAATACCGAAAGAAAAACAAGTAAGGGAAATGGAGACGAAATATTGAAAAGTTTACATCATGGAAATTAATGTTAGTAATGCCAGAAAGCTCTTGGGAGAATTAAGATTTAGTTTCCTGGGCGTAAATCCAGCAAGCTCCAAAGTTTCCAAAGTTTCCTCTGGGCTTTAACCCCTCTCAACTAAGGGGACAGTTAAGTGAACAGAAATATTAATGTTAATGGCTATATCAAATATCTTCTTGCATTTGTTTTGTTAAACAATGCCCTGAGATCAGTTAGCACAAAGTGAGTATTATGGTATGTTCGCTTTTTGCTTCCCGGATCATTTAGTTTGTGTCCCTGAATGACAGATCTGAGGGAACAAATCAGAGGTGGCATACATTTATTTAGGAAACTGTTGGGAGGTACGTGTTTAACAGCTCGTATGCTTCCACGAAGAAGATGATTTCTCCCAATTGATGGATTGCACTGATATTTTTCTTACTAAAGTGTTGCATACAAAGTTTTTAATTTTCAGCACCGTGTGCATGCTGTAGTATCTCGTGATCAACACCGTGTGCATGCTGTAGTATCTCGTGATCAACACCGCGTGCATGCTGTAGTATCTCGTGATCAACATCGTGTGCATGCTGTAGTATCTCGTGATCAACACCGTGTGCATGCTGTAGTATCTCATGATCAACACTGTGTGCATGCTGTAGTATCTCGTGATCAACACCGTGTGCATGCTGTAGTATCTCGTGATCAGCATCGTGTGCATGCTGTAGTATCTCGTGATCAACACCGCGTGCATGCTGTAGTATCTCGTGATCAACACCGCGTGCATGCTGTAGTATCTCGTGATCAACACTGTGTGCATGCTGTAGTATCTCGTGATCAACACCGTGTGCATGCTGTAGTATCTCGTGATCAACACCGCGTGCATGCTGTAGTATCTCGTGATCAACACCGTGTGCATGCTGTAGTATCTCGTGATCAACACCGTGTGCATGCTGTAGTATCTCGTGATCAACACCGTATGCATGCTGTAGTATCTCTTGATCAGCATCGTGTGCATGCTGTAGTATCTCGTGATCAACACCGTGTGCATGCTGTAGTATCTCGTGATCAACACCGTGTGCATGCTGTAGTATCTCGTGATCAACACCGCGTGCATGCTGTAGTATCTCGTGATTAACACCGTGTGCATGCTGTAGTATCTCGTGATCAACACTGTGTGCATGCTGTAGTATCTCGTGATCAATACCGTATGCATGCTGTAGTATCTCTTGATCAGCATCGTGTGCATGCTGTAGTATCTCGTGATCAACACCGTGTGCATGCTGTATTATCTCGTGATCAACATTGTGTGCATGCTGTAGTATCTCGTGATGGTGATTTAGTACATTGTGCCCACGAGATAGTACAGTGTGATTGCTAAATCGCATGCAAGCTTTAACTATTTTGTAAGCGCAATATAGATAGCTCATGAACACAATATTCTAAATTGTCAGCAGAAAATAACCATATCGCAGTCAGCAGGGCGAGTGCTTCTGTAAGCCGGACTCCAACGTGGTAGAGAAGTCAACCAGCTCCTCCAATGCCATCACTATATATATTTTTAGTTTTCTTTACTTTTGTTTTCTTTTTGTGGTTTTGTAACTATTTTGGATATAGAAGAAGATGTTAAATGTTTTCTAAGATGTTAAATGTTTTCCATGATGCGATCTCTATATTTGAGTGAATGTAAAGGTGGGCTACACTCTGTGTAAAAAATACACCTGGTTTTTAATTAGTCAGAAATGATATTGTAACATGATATATTAAATGCTATTACTTTTTCGCATATTTTCTTATCAATTTTATTCTTATCATGCCACATCCATAAGGAGGGGAGATTTATTATTGTCTACTAGCTATTAAAGCTGTTTCATACAAGGTAATTTGCCAGATAGCCTCCTGTGAGTTTTAAATCTAAAGATTAAAATAGGGAATTGAGACAAGAGGTGGCAGAGGGAATTTGGAGTTGATGTCCAGAGAGAGTTAAAAGGATAATTGCAGCTGCTGGTAAAATGTAAAGGAAATGAGGAGGTAATTGACTGCGATTTCTAAATTACCATCTAACAGAAAAGTATTGCAAGGATCTAATATTAACATTCTTTTAGATTACATCAGTTTCCACAGTGATTGGTCCAACTTTGTCCACTTTTTAAAAAGTGACATCTTGATGTGCATTTATTCTTCTTAGTAATTGATTATAATAATCACCCTCATCATAAATCCAAAGGGGAGAGAAAATACTAAAGTATGCCCCGTTTAGTCAACTGAAAACTTCAGGCTGACATTAATTTTTCGACAATAATTTTTCTAGCTGCCCCTGATTTCCTTAACATGTAATATCCTAAACATGATTAGCCTCAGAGCCTGTTTTTTGCAGTGCTTGTTATGTGCCAGTTATTACTGTGCCCTTAGCAATGCTTAACACCCAGTGATCTATGGACAATGATAGCAAAGTAAAGACGTTTCTGATTGTCACGGGACATTCAGCCGTCTTCTCTTGCACACATTTGCTTATATGGCAATATAGAATCGTATAACAATGTTTTAGTCATATAAATACAAAAAAGAAAGACTAAGGCAATATTGGGGTAAAAAAAGGCATTGTGTACTGGACAGGTTATTGAAGGGAAAAAAAGTTTGTTTTTTTAATAAAAAAAAAATCCTATGAATCCTTTATTCGTGAAATTCTATTGAATTGCAGTCTATGCTGAGCTGTCGTATATGAAATATGAAGGCTTTGTGTTACATTTTATGTCCATTTAAGTTTAAAGAAAATAAATTCAACTATTAAAAAGCTGAGGCTAAAGGCTTCTACAAGTTCAAACGCCGCAGAGTATGTAAAAGTACTGATCCATAAAATCAAAAAAACACCCAAAAGAGCAAATAAGACTCATACCATTAAAGATTTTATCAGCTCCAGTACGAAAAATGTAATCTACTTATTGGAGTGCCCTTGTGGCCTTCAATATGTTGGGATGACCACAAGGAGTCTTAAAATAAGATTAGGAGAACATTGTCGAAACAGATACCCGGATATCCAAATCACTCAGTATTCAAACATTTTATTATACATAACAGTGTTCCTAAACAACTGAAATGTATTGGAATAAAAAATGTGTTACCCCCTGGACAGGCGAAAATATAAAAAATATCCTTGGAAAATGTGAAATGGAGTGGGTTTTTAATTTACAGACTTTAGCACCCCATGGTCTGAATGCAGACTTTGATCTGTTTAATTTTTTATCTAATAATGTTTATTAATATTTCTACTTTATGTGCCATCTTTTCATATAACTTGTTACATTTTTTACTGTTCTTAATCCATTATATTATTATTGTGCACTCTGCAATTTTATAATTCTCTCCCCTCCTATGGCTGCCACTAACTGTCCTTTTAAATTAATCTCCTCACATAATATGGCCGCCGCGCCTACGTGTGATGTTTATTTAATTCATTCCCCCCTAAGATGGCCGCCGCGACCGCACATGCGGTCTAGACCCTCAGATATTATTTGTCTATTAGAAAACAAAACAATACTATCACCACAATCATGTGTGAATAGTGTGAAATAAGTATGCAATATACTTATCAGGTAAATCAGCCTCCCAAGGATCACTTCCCAGGTAGCGATCTTTATACAAGAATACAAGCAAAACACATATGGAGTACGGCTGTGGAATCTAAAAAGAATTTTAACAAATAATGTGGGCTGTACAAAAATGCACTCCCAAGATGTAGACGTATTATGCACTCAAAGGGTGCCTAAATCGGGGGAGGCACCCTTTGAGCGCATAATACGTCTACATCTTGGGAGTGCATTTTTGTACAGCGCACATTATTTGTTAAAATTGTATTACACTATGTTTTGTCTCTGTTCTTTTTAGATTCCACAGCTGTATCCCATATGTGTTTTGCTTGTATTATTTGTCTATTGGCCGCTGTTACGCATTCGGCTCCAACTACTTCCCTCTCCCCGCTCTGCTTTTGCCAAGAATAGATCTAGTGCGGTCAGCTATCGTGTCGGCAAACGGAACGCAAGGTTTAGCGGCTGGGTAATATGACGCACTGATTACACGCATCCCATGTTTCGGTGATCTATGCCGCATAAAAACTAATAAAACCCTTGTTTTATATAAAACTATATATATTTAGATAACCTAATAATGTTGGGTCTCTATCTAGATGTCTTGTGTTGTTATTTGCATGCAAATACATACTGTTTTATGATTGTAAGATGACATTTTGGCACCAATTTTAATTTGTTTTATACCTATATAAACCCTATGAAGCTAGGCTGTATGTTTTTACTCCATTGATAAAGCCTATTGGTGAAACGCGTTTGGATGTTATTTAATTTTATTATAAACTAAGAAATAGATTTTGGTCACTACGTTTGCTATTTGTGCCATTATCTTTAAAATATTTGTTCTCTACATACTACCTGGCATCAACTATTTCCTACTACAAAGAATCCCAGGTAGGGATCATACCACCGACGCTGTCATCATAGAGTAGTGAGCCTGCTCTATCTTTAAGAGTAGAATTTTATTACATCTTATTGATTATTCATATTTTTTGAGAGCACTAGTGCTGCCTTTTTTATTTTTTATCTCTGGGTCCCTGATATCTCCACCTTTGAGAACATTCACATCATATCCGCTATACACGCTAGAGCTGGCTTGAGCTCTACCAAATGTGAGTGTAACTTCGTCATTTTTTATTATATTCATAATACCAGACATATGGCACTATTGGCCTTTCCTGCTTGTATCTCCCCTCTCTCTATATATGGACGTCTGATAAACGCAAAGGCAAAGTCTTCTGGCTCAAAAGATCTACGTTATACCAAGTATTTTTTACCACAAAATTAAAACTTTTTGTTGATTTGGGACTATACATAAGTTTAATATTTATCTGGATAACTTTTACTGTTCAACTGCAATTGTTGTTGCCCTACCCCTACTTTGTTTTATTAAAAAAATTTATTTGGTTGTCCAAACTGGCAAGAAAATATAATCTAATATACTAGCGCTGTATGACTCTAGACCAGATTCTGATTGAATTCAAAGGATTTTGATGAATACAAATTGATTTCTTTCCGAAAAAAAAAACACATTCTTGCACAAATCTAATCCAGAGAATAATAAGAAATAAGCCATAGCTCAACACTATTCACTTAACGCACATATTTTTTCCAGGTGGCCAAGTAACAAAGTTGCTAACCACCTTTTGTTTTTGTTGACATTATTTTTTATTATTATTATTTGTATTTTTTCCAGTACCTTTTAAAACTCAACCGTTGGTTGAAAACTCATTAAGTGTTAGAGACCTACGCTGTGCTATATTCTTTGGAGCATAAAGGTCATTGGTTACATGACCTGACAGCCATCTTTGCTATGGTAACCAATTTTGCACAATATTCAGATATCTCTATCTCCAGAACTGCTTACGTTACATAGTTACATAGGCTGAAAAGAGACATGTGTCCATCAAGTTCAGCCTTCCTCACATTTGTTTTTTGCTGTTTATCCAAAAGAAGGTAAAAAAAACCCCAGTTTTAAGCACTTCGAATTTTCTAACAAAAAATTCCTTCTTGGCCCTATAAGGGCAGTCAGATTAATCCTTGGATCAAGCAGTTATTACCCTACATTGAAAGATTATATCCTTGAATATTCTGTTTTTGCAAGTATGCATCTAGTAGCTGTTTGAACATCTGTATGGACTCTGATAAAACCACTTTTTCAGGCAGAGAATTCCACATCCTTATTGTTCTTATGATAAAAAAAAAACTTTCCTTTACCTTAGACTAAATCTTCTTTCTTCCAGTCTAAATGCGTGACCTTGTGTCCTATGTAAAGTCCTGTTTGTGAATAGATTTCCACACAATGGTTTATATTGGCCCTGGATATATTTGTATAATGTTATCATATCCCCTGAGGTTTAAATTTGTTAACCTTAAAATGTTACAGATGTACAAATTGATATGAGGTTGTGCTGTGACCTAGAATCACATTTGATCAGGATAACCTGGTTCAGCAATCATGTTGGATTGCGCAATGTTCTTTACATCTTCCTTTCTAAAACTGTTAGTCAGTACAATGTGACATTTAGGACACAAGTCCTCAGTTAGTTCCTCTGCCAAGATTTCTCATAGCAAGTCAATATCAAAATCAAGATGGCCGCAGGAAAACAAATACCTTGACGGTGTCTTAGAATTACATACATTTGTATTCTTTTTACTATTAAACTATGTTAAAGCCTGTTCAACATATGATATCTGAAATAGTAGCACATGTGCTGAGTCCATACGTTTGTGCTTGGTGACCTAGATCATGTGTTTTGCAACCAACATGCACAGTAGCATAACATTCCATTAATATCACTATT